GCGGATAAAACTTTTACGGTCGCAGCAACAATATTCAAGTGGTGAAAACTTGGCACCAAAAGCATATTCGCCAACTTCAAACTAATAGACTGAAACGAGTGAAGACAACTCTTTTGAAGATGATGCTTGCATTCAGTATGTTATGGAGGCAGAGTTGGAGCCTTGCAATGATTTTGAAGCCTATTAAGATGAACTAGCTTTAGAAAGTGCATTAGAGTAAACTATTAAAATTTTAAGTGTCTTTGTACCTGCATAAATAACTTTTGTGATTCCAATATCACTGTACAACAACACTGGTCACTCAACACGAACCAATCCTATATATTATGAAAGAGGAGGTTCGGAATTTTTTACGGAGGGTTAAATTTTTAACATATTAGCTGAAAGTGGAAGTAGACTGCAACGTGTGAAGACAACTCTTTTGAAGATGATGCTTGCATTCAGTATGTTATGGAGGCAGAGTTGGAGCCTTGCAATGATTTTGAAGCCTATTAAGATGAACTAGCTTTAGATAGTGCATTAGAGTAAACTATTAAAATTTTAAGTGTCTTTGTAGCTGCATAAATAACTTTTGTGATTCCAGTATCACTGTACAACAACACTGATCACTCAACACGAACCAATCCTATATATTATGAAAGAGGAGGTTCGGAATTGTTTACGGCGGGTTAAAGTTGTGACATTTTAGCTGAAAGTGGAGTTCATTTATTAACCCTCCGTTAGGCGCGTGGACTACATATGTAATCCACACATCTTTTAGCAGGGACCAACTAAAACTTGGGTGGAGGATGACATTGCCCGCTTGAATAGCTATCGATGATATACAAAAGTGCTCACTTAGTATAAAATTGAGGGGCTAGGCCCACATTTACCACTTTTAGCCACAGTTGAATACGAGTGGAGTACAATTGTAATCCACGCGCCTAATTACGTAACATTTTTTGCCAAGTTTTATAATTCCAAAAAACAAATCTTAATTCCATAAAAAAATTTTGACTTTGTTCATTATAAATTAGCATTGAATTTTATAACTTTTTTGTAGTGCAAATTCCAACGATTTCGGGTCTATACATTTCAGTGTTTCCATAAATTAACATTAACTTTTTGTTTTGTATTTGGCTATTTTCGCATATCTAAGAATTTAACTTTGTTTATAAGCAATGTTAAGGCTATTCAGTATGTACAACAAATATTTCACTATAGATATGTCATATGTTGTTTTACATGGAAATTGAAATTTCTGATGCAAAAAAGATACATTTGGAAACAGAAGAAAGCTCTATGGATGAAGAAGATGAAGATAAGCTTAGTTTTTTTATAATTTGGAAATTATTGCTTGGGAGCTAGTAAAACCGCAAACTGAACACCGATTACTAATATGTCAAGAGAAGTTGATCGTCTAGGACGGCATCTACTTTGTATAGAAAAGATGTATAGCCTCCACCAGCCGACATGCCAGAAAATTGCTTTCGGCGAAGTCCACAAGAAATATTATATAGTAAATATTCAAAAATGATAGAATACATTTTCTCTCAATCGTGGTAAATAAATATGCATGTAAGAATCATATGAGAGATGAGAGCATCGCTTATTTGGCAGAGAAAAACATGCTCCATATTTGACTTGTATTTCCTCGTTTATACGCTTTTATATTTCTTCACTGTTCAGTTTGTATTAAGTCTATTATTTAAAATAAAAATGTGAAATTAGTTTAGCTTTTTTTATTGCATACTTTGAATTTGCAATAATTCTTAAGAACCTTCTATTAAACGGCTCAAAACAACACGCATTGCCTGTTTTATTATTTCTCATAAAAGTTAGATAAAACCAAAGTCAAAATATGTTTGAGACGTATTAAATAATATAAATAAACATTTATTGGAAACAAATATAAAATTTTTTTTTTAAATAAAATATTATAGCAGCCAAAGAAGTTGGACTACTATTGTAATCCACGCGACTAACCGCGTGAGTAGAACCCATGCGCCTAATGGAGGGTTAAAAATACTGTAGATTAGACGACTTCAAAAACAATTTCTGCCTTCACACACATCCATACAACCAGTTACCACCTCCAAGCGAAAGGATTCGTAGAGAGATGGCATCAGGTGTTGAAAGCCGCCCTCAGATGTCACGCTACATACGCGAACTGGGTCGACGTCCTACCCATCGTTCTTTTAGGCTTACGAACGGCAGTGAAAGAGGACTTGGGCGTATACGTAGCAGAGATGCTCTACGGACTGCCTATCCAGTTACCCAGCGATTTCCTGGAGGCCGACGATAACACCCCTGTAGATGAGCAGAGCTGCCTGTGGGATTTGCGACAACATTTCGAAATGGCTAGGCCAACGCCAACTTCACAGTATGGAAAGCACGCCGTTTTCGGGCCAAAAGATCTGAGATTCTGCAGTCACGTATTTTTACATGATGACACTATCCGCAAGCCACTGAAATCGCCGTACGAGGGGCCGTACCTCGTCGTTAACAGGTACCCCAAGATGTATACAATATTGATTGGATCAAAACAAGTCACGGTGTCCATTGACAGGCTTAAATCGGCTTACTTCACCAGGGACGAGTTAGCAGCGACACATCACCAACATACGCAGTTACCCTGGTTACCTTTCTCCGTTGCTAGGTTTGGAAAGGGACCAACCCTTACACTTGCCGCAGTTAGGTTAGGTTAGGTTGAAGCGGCTGCCTTCATCCAACATGGGAGAGAGGCACACTTAGACCCAGTGGATCCGTTGTGATACCAATTGAGAGCTCGAATACAAACCCGTCCGTTCGCCTAGAAGTGGAACCAGTGTTAAGTGGCAAGTAGTTAAGTGGCAACTTCAAAAGGCGCAGTAAACGAACAGAGCTTTTGTGACATTCGTTTATATTAACCGAAATTAACTACATTCAACGTATTTTCTGGCGACGATAACAATCAGAATTTTCTGTGTGTTAAATCAACTTGTATTTGTTTAATTTTTAAGTTAATAAGGACATATAGAAATAGCACTTCTATACTTTAATATCTAACAACTCCTAAATACCTAAGTTTTTTGTACTTGAGTATTTAGGAAACTCCTAAATACCTAGGTATTGTTTACTCGGGTATTTTACAACTAAATATTTACCTAAGTATTTTTTATTTGAAGTATTTAGCATACTCCTAAATATCTAAGTTTTTTCTACTTGAATATTTAGACATCTCCAAATATTCAGCCTCATTGCGAGCAAGTCCTTTTTCGAGAGTCGAATGGTATCGAAAATTTCACGTCATTGCCTAAAATTTCCACTCGACTAGTGTATTAAAACGGAAAAACTTGGCAGCACTGCATAATTTTCGACGATTTTCGTCGTTTACTTATTTTAGCACGACAGTCGACAATGCCGATGTTGTCGAGTCGTACAATTTATCCTAATTTACGACTTACGCAATGAGGCTGATTAAGTATTTGGGTATTAGTACCCAAACTGGTACTTTAAGTACAAAAGTATTTAAGTGTGCCCATCACTGCTTATAATTAGGCTAGGTATAATAGGCCGGGAATTAACGACAAATTTAATTAACCCATTTCCGCAAGCTTATATTTTTTTCTATTAGTTATGCGTGTAGCGTAGAATACTAATTTGAATGTCTGCCACCGCATATCTGCGGTACGGGGTTACAGGAGGGTTACAATTATAGCAAAATCTAAGCCAAAAAATTCATAGCCGCATACGCGGAACTTACTGTACGTATCATTTGACATATAAGAAGATTAAAAAATATCTTCTACAATCTAAATTTGAAGGCAAAAGTCGTCTGCCACCCACAAAAATATCGCAAAAAATATATATATTTCCGCAAAGATGAAGGATGTTCTTGAACCACGATATAAAGGAAGCAGAGATGTTGAATGTGACTATAGTTGTTAAAATAAACGCAAAAATTTACAAAATATAGATTTATTTCAATCAATTCCGATTGTCTAACTATCATTCTAACATTTTTAAGCGTTTTGGCCAATAACTCACTGGCAGACGATCTCGCTGTATGTTATTGGCGGCAGACTATTATTTTTCGCTTTGTTACTATAAAAAGAAGCATTTTAATTAATTTCGTCTTTGCGGAAATAAATTGTTTTTTTGCGATATTTTTGTGGGTAGCAGACGATTTTGCCTTAGAATTTAGACGGCAGACGATATTTTTTTAGCTTCTTTTATGACAAATGATACGTACAATAAGTTTCGCGTACGCGGCTATAAATTTGTTTTTCTTATTTTTCGTTACAATTTTAACCCCCGTCCAAATTAGTATTGTACGTTACTCGCATACCTCATAGACAAAAAATTAGGCTTGCGAAAATTACCCGAAAATTTTTGTCGTTAACTCCGGGCCACCGGACGGAACGTACAAGTTTCAACAAAAACTTCGGGTATCATCCCCTTAATAATATTTTGCAGCAAAAAGTCTAAAACAGTGGTTTCTTTCCATCCTTTTTGATTGCTTCTTTTCAAACATCGAAAAGCACAGCAAAACACACGTAGAAGTTTTCTTAAAAAAACGCCTATTATGCAAAAAGTGCAACATGATTTTCAGCCCACAACCTCTAAATTTAACATTTTTATTGCCCGAAAAGCTTGAAGACCACCAAATGATACCAATTTTCTTATAGCTCTTCTTAAAATGGAAAATGAATTTTATTTTATTTAGCAAGCTGAATGCAAAAACATTAAATTAGAAAGCGTGTTTGATTTCAAAAGCGTTTTACGCTAGTTTAATATTTGCCCCGCCCTGAAAAACCTCGTTCGCAAGAAACTGAAATAGCAACAATGCGAAAGCGTTTTAAAACGTACCTGTAAATATGAGATACATACATATCAAACGAATATTTGGATCGCGATACAAAAGGAGAAATAGTAGCACTGACAAATTTAGTTCAATAAAAATACCTAACTAGTGAGATGAACTTGTTCTTTAGTCCATTTAGTTCAAGAACTACCCAAACCTAATAAGAAATACTTACCTAAATATCTTTCTGAATTTTCACCACCTTCGCCGGTGTTACTTTTTCCTCCAATACGATTCATAGTAATAGCCAATGTCTGATGTGCTTCCAAAGAAATACTACCAAAACTCATGGCCCCCGTAACAAATCTTTTAACAATTTCTGATGCTGGCTCCACTTCCGATATATCTACTTTATTTTGATCAGTAACGAGCTCGAGTTGTCCTCTGAGTGTACAATTCCTTACACTGTCTAATGTTGTCGATTTAAAGGCTTCAAATGAGTTCCAGTTTTTATTTAACGTAGCTTCCTGTAAACTTGCAATAGCAGCAGGCTCATTTACATGAGCTTCCCCTCCATTACGCCAATGATAATTACCAGGATTTCGCAAAATTCGAGTGTCAAATAATGTATCGCCAAATGCCATGTTGTACCGTTCTATAGCTTCTTTTGCAACTGTTTCCAAAGTAATACCTCCAATACGACTCGCCGTTCCACGAAAGCACTTACTAATTAGTTCTTCACCTATTCCAACAGCTTCAAAAATTTGAGCACTCTTATAAGACTGTAGAGTACTTATGCCCATTTTAGCCATAACCTTTGCTACACCCATTTCGATAGCTTTGGCATAAGCATTATAAATTTGCTTATTATTAACATCGGAATTAATGACACAATCATCCCGAAGCGCTTGTGCTAATTCAAAAGCCAAGTAAGGGCAAATTGCATCTGCACCGTAGCCAAGCAATACACAAATGTGATGGACTTCACGAGCCTCAGCTGTTTCTACTATAATTCCAACCTTCATCCGTTGAAGAGTTTCTATTAAGAAATGATGTAAAGCACCCAATGCAGCCAATGCCGATACAGGGACTCTTCCACGACCAGCGTTTCTATCCGAAATAACTAACAATTGATAACCAGAAGAAGCGGCATCGAAACCTTGGCGGCAAATATCGTCAATGCAATCCACGTAGCCCCTAACTCCTTTTTCAAACTCATAAGTTATATCCAAAACCTTTGTTTTCCATCCCCTGTGGATGTTACCCTTCAATAAATTTGTGTCAGGAATACTTAGAATCGGATTTTGTAACCAAATGCGATGTACTTGTTTAAAAGATGGTTGGAGTAAATTCGCTTCTGGCCCTAAGGGGCTTTGCATTGACATTACAACCTTTTCACGAAATGGATCGATGGGTGGATTTGTAACTTGAGCAAATAATTGTTTGAAGTAATCGTAAAGTAGCGGTTGAAAAGCAGATAAACAGGCAAGTGGAGCGTCGTTTCCCATTGAACCAAGAGCTTCTTTTCTGCGAAGTAAAAGGGAAACGAGATAGATATTAAAGACACTTAGATATAAAATATGTACGATATAACTAGTATACACTATAGAGCTAGATGATTTACAAATCGAAAAGAACTTTTCACAAAAGCAAAAACTAACATTTAGTATTTAATAAAATTTACACACTATACATTAGACCACGTAAAAAACTAAAAAATCCTGCACTGTGACCGGAATGAGATTTAAATTTTAGCAATTGTATAGTAATGATCCTCCATGAATATCCCCTCTTTAGGACAATTGTAAGAGGTCCCGAGTCGAGCATTTAGTTTTCCCATAGGAATTACACGTACAAAAATTAGTTCTTTCCTTTTGAGGTCAATATAATTTTTTAGGATCAATGAAACACTCGAGACTATAAGAATACATTGGTTACATGCCATTTAAGTATTATTATGCAGGCTCAGATTATTTAAATTCCTAAATAATCCTTTTTTAATCCCTTGTATTATTTGGGTCAATGTGTTATTTAGCTTTATTTTCATTGCTGTAAACTATATCAAGCTGGTTGCTTTTGGATATAATCATAGACGTATATTTGAAGACTTAAAAAAATGTTGAATCACTTTGTTGCATAGCTTTTTAGCCCAGTAAAATTAGATAAATTTGGTAGGAAAATTGAAAAAAATTTTTAACACCGATTTTTTGGTGCAGTTTACTTCTATTTGACACGTAGATCATGGATCCACAGTCTTGCCCCTAAATTTCATTTGGCAACATTCGCCATCTTGGATTTAAGTTTTTTGGGTTTTTTCCAATTTGCAAGCTTATTTTCCATTTTTCGTAAAAAATGGTTAAATACAATTATGTAGATAATTTAATTTCTCACATTTACGATATAGAAGGTTTTTTAAAAATTGCATTTTTTATTGTAAAAAATTAGCAAAAACTGATAAAAAATTTTATAGTGTCACGGCTTTCGCCATTTTTCGACAATTATATACAAATATGTAGAGAATTTAATTTTCCACATTTATTATATAGAAGGTTTTTTTAAAATTGCATTTTTTATTGAAAAAAAATTGGCAAAAACTGCAAAATATTTTACATTGTCACGGGTTTCGCAATTTTTTTACAATTTCTGCTGAAAATACATAACATGTTGAAATTCCAAACTTCTAAACTAGAGACTTTCGTTCTCCACACTTGTATACCAAATTTTTTTTTGTACGACGCTTATAACACGGCCGGGATCGTAAAAAACAAAGCGATTATCCCAGTAAAATTAGATAAATTGGGTAGGAAAATTAACAAAAAAAAAATTTTGTAACCGCGATTTTTTGATGCAGTTTACTTCTATTTGACACGTAGATCATGGATTCACAGTCTCGCCCCTAAATTTCATTTGGCAACATTCCGCCATCTTGGATTTTATTTTTTGGGGTTTATTGCGATTTGCAAGCTAATTTTGCATTTTTCATAAAAAATGGTTAAATACGAATATGGCAATGAGTTTTACGGCGCATCCCGTACATTGCTATGTTTACCGCATTCCCGGCCGTGATCTAAGCGTCGTACAAAAAAAAGTAGGCACAAGAATTTTGGAAAATGAAATTCTCTACAACCTTGGAATTTCAATATGCTATGTATTTTCAACAGAAATTGTCTAAAAATGGCGAAAACCGTGACAATGTAAAATTTTTTTTTGCAGTTTTTGCTAATTTTTTACAATAAAAAATGCTAGTTTTAAAAAACCTTCTCAGTATATAACAAATGTGGGAAATTAGATTCTCTACATATGTGTTTGTATTTAACCATTTTTTATGCAAAATGCAAAATAAGCTTGCAAATCGCAAAAAACCCAAAAAAAAATAAAATCCATGATGGCGGAATGTTGCCAAATGAAATTTACGGGCGAGACTGTGGATCCATGATCTACGTGTCAAATAGAAGTAAACTGCATCAAAAAATCGATGTTACAATTTTTTTTTTTTAATTTTCCTACCAAATTTAACTAACTTTTTTGGGCTAATCGCTATGTTTCGCACGTTCCCGGCCGTGATCAAACAAATGGAGGTATACAAGTTGTGAAGAATGAAATTCTCTACAACTTTGGAATTTCAATATGCTATGTATTTTCAGCAGAAATCGTAAAAAATGGTGAAAACCGTGACAATGTAAAATATTTTGCAGTTTTTGCAAATTTTTTACAATAAAAAATGCAATTTTAAAAAAACCTTCTATATAACAAATGTGGAAAATTAAATTCTCTACATATTTGTATATAACCATTTTTTACGAAAAATCCAAAATAAGCTTGCAAATTGGAAAAAACCCAAAAAAAAACTTAAATCCAAGAAGGCGGAATATTGCCTAATTAAATTTAGGGGCAAGACTGTGGATCCATGATCTACGTGTCGAATAGAAGTAAGCTGCATAAAAAAATTGCTGTTACAATTTTTTTTAAGAAAAAGTCTAATTTTACTGGGCTATTTGAGTTATAGATGTTTTCATTCAAAAAAAATATTAAAAACAGGTGAATTTTTTGTGTAACTTTTAAGAGGTGAAAAGTTAACTATGTCATGACTTTTGGAGCACACAATATACTGGTTTGAAAATTTATGGGCAATTAGTACTAACGTGGACACTCACATGCAAGTAATTCAAAGTTTGTAACTCTACTTTCCAAAATTTTAAAAAGTTTCGGTTTATCGCGTATTGTTTTTGAAGCGTTTCATTTTGAACACCTTCTAAAAATGTATTGTATTCTACAAAGAATTAGGAATAATTTAATACCTTATCAAGAGGTGTGGTTTCGGAATAAACTAACTTTTAAAGATAAAATATTCTGCGATCTTGAGCGTAATTTTGTATTCCAAAAAAATTTTAATTGAAGGCACATTTGCAAAATACGTCGAAACGATCTAAATCTTTCTGGAACTACTAGTCCTTATAAAATTACATATACCTGTAAAATGCTTCAAACTAATTTTTTCTAGAAGTGTGTAAAAACCGTGATTTACTACTTTTAATGATGCCCCTTTTAGTAGTCAGAATATTTCTAGCGTGGTATCAAATAAACTATTTTTCAACGAAGGTTCTGATAGTTGCTCTTACTTAACTGGAGCCTTCTAAATTCATAGGCGTCCCCAGCTTTGCCCGATTGGCTCCACTTTTCGAGATATGTGTACTTGAAACTTTGCTTAAATTTAAACTATTTAAAAAAAAACTCCCTCGGTGTTGAAGATATTTTACTAAAATTTTGCACACGATTGTATTTTAATATTACATACACTATCTCTTAAAATCATCGCAATCGGTTTACTATAACATGTAGCTCCTATACAACTGATTGTTCAGAGACGTTGTTTTGCGTTATAACTCATCCAATTAAGCGGGTAAAAATTTAGTATAGGTTCACGTTAACATATAGCACGCATACAATTTATTATTCAGATATGAAGTTAGAGTTACAGCGCAAAAACACATATCTGAGTAATCAGTTGTATTGGAGTGAACCCATTTCGATAATTTTAAGGAATAATTAAGGTAATATTAAAAAACCGTTATGTGCAAAATTTTTGTAAAATAATTTCAAAACTGAGGGAGTTATTTATAAAATAGTTAAAATTTAATCAAATTTTCAATTACCGTTATCTCGAAAACCGGAGCGAACCTGGTAAAACGGGGGATGCCATTGAATTTAGAACATGCCAATTAAGTGAGTTCAGCTTTCAAATACTATGCTCAAAATTTACAACTTGAACAGCGTAATTTGAACCCAACTTATTCTTTTGTTTTCTATTTCATTTCATATTTATTTTCGTCCAACTTTTGAAGCACTTGATGAAAATGAGTTACTGTTACACTAATTGATTTATTAAGAGATTGCGAATAAAATGGTATATAAAACATACGTGTGCTCACAAATTTTAAAATAATTTTTTTTTTTGGAAAGTGTACCTATTTTTTAGATTTTCCGATATAGATAGCGAACTTCAACTGATAATAAGTTAACTAAAATGCGAATACAAAACACTCTTAAGGTTGCTTTAATTTAGACTGTTGCGAATATGTCCTGGAACCGAGTTCCAGGTGCGAATAGCATTGACGAAAAATAGTCTTACAGATGTTAGATAATTGTACTTGGATATAATCAGGTCAGTAACACGATGTAGAGAATAAAAGGTGGCGCCCATCTCGGTACCACCGCTATTCCGCTCTCAGTGAATTTGACAGAATCGCTGTTTGTATGACGTCACACTTGTGCAACTTGTTAACGTTTTACTTGAACATTTTTATCTTCTTAAATTCTTGCTTGCGTTTTGGCATTTCTCTCTCGCAAATGCACCAGTGAGACGTCACACAAAACTTAATCTCAAAAATCCTCTGATGGGCGCAATCTTGTATTCTATCATTCTTGGGTCAGTAAGGCGTGCAGACTTTGAGAAGGATAATTTTTCGTATAGATATCTAGGATCTTTATCCATCATTAGCCGAATTAAAAAAATACAATTGCCAATCGGATATTCGCTCAAATTTCGATAGCCCAAAAACATATCGAGTAACATGATTGAATACTACATCAATTGTATAAGAAGATTGAGAATCCAGGCTGCTGTAGACTAGTTGCTGTAGACTATGTAGTTCGGAATAGCAGATAATCGGCAATATTAATTGAATAACCAGTTTACGCCTAACTATTAATGGTGTAAAAGTAGCAGACATTCTTAAATTTCTTAAAGTATAATAGACTTAGAGTTAACATGGTCAGTGCATGTTAGTGTTTATAACAAAACCGAGATTAGTCACATTAGAAACAAATTTAGGAGACTTATCACCAATGTACAAGAACGGAATAACATCAAATTTAATATTTCTTTTACATACAGGCAACACAAAGGATTTATCACAGTTGAGACAAAGATCATTTTTCGAAGACCAAGGCGATATAGACATTAACTCTCGGTTGAAATTATCGCAAGTACTGAATATGTCATTAATAAACAAACTAAATAGCAATGG